AATAAGTTTTATCCTTCCATGCATTAGTGTTTCTCAAACTTGAGAATTAGAGGAAAGAGTCTCAAAACCAAGCAATTCTTAACATTTAACACTGTCAAACTTCAATTTGTGCTCATATAACTCCTGTGTGTGTGCACACGTGTGTTTGAGTATCCCAAACAAAATGAAGATTTTGAATCTTCATTCTTCAAAGCTCAGATCTAACCTCACCTTTGTGGAGGAAAACAATCATTTTGACTTTAACACATGGGCCTTTGTGTTACTTTTACTCCCTACTCCAGAACACCGGGGGATGGCTTTATGACTATTCCTCTGCTAGACTTTTCACTCAACAGTTATTTTGGCACCTGTTTGTTGCAGTGACAAGAAACAAGTAGACGGCAGTGAGTATATTTATGAAGATCAGGGTGTATTTTGTGAGTCCCTCACCTTTACTCTTAGCAAAGGATATAAGATAATCCACAGAAATGTGCATTCACTGAAATAAAGTGATGTACTAAAGTGCATCCGAAGCAATATACTACCTCTTGAAACTCAATTTGTTCTTTGATATCTATTCTGTACCCAATCCTCTCAAACATTCCCATTGCAGTGAACAGCAGAGTCAGCCAGGCCACTGTAGGACAACCAGGCTTCTCCTGCTGGCCACAGACTCAGTACTGGTTGGCAGTGGAGTAGGGAAAGGTAGTGCCTTCTGCCCCAGCCATATAAGCACCAGAATACTGGTCCCTTGTTGTACAGGGCTCACTGTACAGATGACTTGTGGCCTAGGCCTTCTACTGGTCTGGGAATATCCTTTAAGGATGCCATGGTGATTTGAATGAAATCAGCCCCCATAGGCTCATGTTTGAATATTTGGTTTCCAGCAGCTGGAACTGTTTAGGAAGGATGGGGAGGTGTGGCTTTGTTAGAAGAGGTGTATCACTGGAGTGGGCTTTGAGGTTTCAAATGACGCCTATTATTCTAAGTGTGCTCTCTGCCTTCTGCTTAGTGGACTCCCATGCCTTTGCTTTGCCCTCACAGGCTCTAACTTCTGAAACCATGACCTCAATTTAATGCTTTATTTCATGAGTTGCCTTGATCATGGTGTTTATCACAGGAACAAGTACTGACGCTCACAACCCATACAAGTCTGTGGCTTGCTGTTGCCACAAAGGGTGTTCTCCAGCTTGCCCTATGTCTGTACCTTCTCTAGGGATAGATGCCTTCTCCCAAGCTAGCTTGCTGTAGTATTCCCTTCAGCTCCCATGTACCCATCTGAGTTCTTTCATATCATATAACCATGTCCATCAGAGCTGTGGGGGACCAAAGTATTTCTGCTATGGAATATTTTGAGATCCAGCCTTTGGTTTCACTAAACAGGAACACTGGAAAGCTCTGACCCACTATTGTATTGTTAATGCCAGTAGGGCTACTATTGTTTACAATGGCCTCAGGGTAATATGCCTCCTAATTTGCATCTGTGTGTGCCTAAGCATCTGAATAGGCCCTCACCTGGGTGGAGGTGCTAGAGGTGTGTGAGTAACTTGTGAGGATGGAAGGTGAGGAGTTAGGGGCAAGCGGCCAGAGAGAAATGGTTCCCTCATGGTATTAGTAGGATGGTTAAGAAACACCAGAAAAGATGGCTAATAAAGAAATGACTCTAGTTCTATAACATGGAACTGAGAGCTCTCTGAAGATGACAAGATGCCTGTGGTTTGATCTTTATCGCTGTTGGGTTTCTGGGAGCTTCCAGGTCCACACTCCCACCCTCAGGCTGAACCTCATGGCTGTCGTGGGTTAAAGCAGAGACAAGCCGGTCACGACACAGAGCTTAGCAAATCTTCATACTAAACCTCCCCTGTTCAAATCAGTGTGGGCTATGGCTTTTGTCTCCTTTAGAACTAAACATACAAATGAGGACACAATGAAAACTGGTTATTTCTAAGCTTTTGCTATTTCCCAGAAATTGCAAAATTACACATACATTTAAGCTTTTAGCCATAGGGAATTTCACTGCTTCTTAGAAACAGATGGTAAAAATGCACCTGTATGGGAGGTCCAAGTGTTACTGTTTGAGGCTGCTTTCGCTGTCATATGTTGCCCTGGTTTCTGGGCTATTATTTTTTGTTTCTTGAGGATTACTTTGAGATTCTATTCTTAATTCACAGTCTCTTTATCCATTTATTTCAGCCTTTTTTTCTCCTCTAATTATGTAACTTCTTTTTTTATGATAAATGCCAAGTGTGGGGGGATTTGGCTCAATGGTCAAATGCTTGCTTGCCTTGCACAGGGCCCTGGATTTTATTCCTCATACTGCAGGAAGATAGAAAACAACAAAAATCCAATAGTATTGGCACAAGTGGAGACACATACATAGTAGACTAGAGTTACTGTTATACCCCTGTCTGCCAGCCAAACTTAAGTCTCAACCCCTAAGAGCTGTTTGTTCCAAGTGGACAGACAGCTGGACACAACCACAGGCTTCTGAGGCATCACTCATCTGTAGCACCCCTGGGTTCTTTGATTTTAAGGAGTCTTGCAAAGCTGAAATGTAAGTTCCAAAGCACATATAAAAATGGTTAATCTAAATGTTGTAACCAAAATTTTATGTTTCCATTATCTACATTCTCATGTGAATTCTTCCTTTTTGGCTTTAAAATATTATGTATTATATCATGTAATGTACACAATGAAATGACATAATGATGGGAGATGTCCTTCTGTATATATGTTTCTCTCATTGGTTGATGAATAAAACACAGTTTGGTCAATAGTGAGTAGAGGCAGGAAGATAGGTGGGGCTAGGAGATGAGGAGAATGCTGTGGAGAGAGGCAGAGAGGCACTGGAAGGCGACACCATGTAGCCGCCAAAGGAGTAACAGGTGCAGGCATTTTCCAGTAAGTCAAGACCACATGGAAATACATAGATCTATAAAAATGGGTTAATAATTAAGACAGAGCTAACCAATAAGAAGCCCTAGCCATTGGCCAACAGTTTAATAATTAATATAGCATCTCTGTGTTTACTGGGACTGAAGAGTGGTGGGACCTGGCAGGAAAAGAAAGTCCAGAAACAACATAATGTTTGTTAAGATAATTCATTCATTACACATTTGTACATTGCTCAATGCTTAAAAGCAGAGTGGTCCACACATTTAAAACCACAGAAGACTAAAATATGCAATTATACAAAATGATAACAAAAATATTATTGATTCCTTAAATATAGTACTTTAAATCTTAAATATTTGAACCACTGAAAAAGTACATTTCTTCATAAAAGTATCTAATGCCTCCAAATACCCCCACTTTATTATGAAATTCTTGAAGGTACACAGCATGGGTGTTACACATGTATTAAAATAAGAACCCAAGGAGCTCAACAACAAGGAAGACTAAAACAGACCTTCTGAACTAACATTTCAGACTAACTATATATTCTGTGTAAAACTTTGCAGCAACTGTCACTTTGCTAAGTTGTCCTGTGTTGCCTCAGATTTATTGATTTTTAAGAAACAGTGCTGCCCCACACTGGATCCACTGGTCCTGGTTGCCCCCACAGGGAACATCAATGTTGGTCACCACACGATCCCTCTCGGCACTTGTGTAAACAGGCAAAGAGATGCATTCGTCAGGGGAGTAAGGGCCATATGTACTCTGTTCAAAAGAAAAAAGAAATGATCTAAAATAAGCATCCAATACAGGCCTTCCAATTATTATGTGTACTAGAAATTAGAAGTTTCAAGTAAAGATTACTATAATAAACTCCTATATCCACAGCAGTTTACTCATGTTCAATCATGGATTCTTTAAAAACTTGCCTAGGACCAGGCGGTGGTGGTACATGTCTTTGATCCCAGCATTGGGGATGCAGAGACAGGCAGATCTCTGTGAGTTTGAGGCCAGCTTGGTCTACAAAGTGAGTTCCAGAGCTGTCACAAAGAGCAATCCTGTCTGAAACAAACAAACAAAAATCCAAAGTACCATAAAAAACAAACAGACAAAAAAACAAAACCTTGCCTAGGTACTGGGAAGATGACTCACTAGCAAATCAGAGGACCCTAGTTCAAGTCCTCAATAGGCACACAGGAGTTAGATACACAGTTCAGGAAGCTTTAATCCCAGTGCCTGAGGAGGCAGGAGGCTGAGACAGGAGAATCCCAGGAAGCCCATTGGCCACCTAGCCTGCTGTGTGCAGTGGTGCACAAGAAAATCCATCTCAAAGGCAAAGAACATCCAAGGTTGTCTTCTTACCTCTACAATGAACCAAATGTGTTCTCCCCCCCCCCATCTCTT